CCCTGCCAGCATTGAGATGCTTACAATGCCACTCAATCCACAAGAGTTCCTACCTACTGGCCTGTGATCTTCCTGCATTTGGTGTCATTACATGTGTTTCGTGAGTCTGAAAAGGACTTTATAGATTGGTTTCAGACATATGGGCTAATATCGGACTTATGGACTTGATCTGGACTGGGCTGAGATATTTTGTTAATGTACAATTACTCTTTTTGTAAAGCTCTTTCTTATACACATATGAGTATGTATGAATTTGTTTTTCTAGTCTACCCAAGACTAACACACCACCTCTATTTTATACTTGAAAGAAAGATAAATTCATATTTTAAACTCTAGGAATAAAAAACTGTTTGTGGTTTCTCTCCACCAGACATATTAGAGTGCTTTATGCATTCTCTGTTATGCTCCTTCGGCTCCTGGAATGTCCTTCCTCCAAATGTCTGCCTAGCCCCAACATGTTCTTTAAGGTTCAGCTGCCCTAGGAAACATTCCTTGCTCCCTCAACTCAAATGTCAGTGGTGCTAAATGTTCCTGTACTGGAAGACCCAGAGCAAATTTATAGTACTGATCAAAGCATTATAGTTAATGTATGTCTATTTAACTGCTAGCTACCCTGTTAGAATAAAGACCTACAGGACAGTATTTGTGTTTTATGATTTGTTTTGTTTTTTGTATCTCCCACTAATATCTAGTACAATGCCTGGCAACAATTTTCCATGAGAGATCTTAAGGAAAAGTTAACAAGCACGGTTAAGGTTCCGCTTGCTGGTACCCCACTTGTTCTCACAGGTGTAAATGATCACTAACGCATTGCAAGTACTATATAAGAAAGTATGCAAAGGTCCCTGTGGTTTTTTGCCCCAAAAGGCAAATCATCCACATGTTAGCACTGAGAGAGGAGAACTGGAAACACCTGAATGTTTTTGCTTAATGCCCCTTTCTTTCATAATTCTGCTTGTTTACCACTCCTTAATGTTAGATGTACACAAATATATTTGCATAGGATTTGGTGCAATGGAAAAACTTGGTCCTCTTTCTAATATAAGGCAGAATTTTATCTGGATAACACCATGGGCCCATAATTTCTGCACCTAGGGAGAAAAAAGAATTTTCCAGAGGAATTGTCCCTAAGTATAGGAGATAAAGGGAAGGCAGTGACTTCAAACTCCTATCCCTTGTCTCCAGTCATCAAATGGGTGATGCCAGTTCTGGCCCTCGGTCTCATTTGCGAGATGAAGCTAGGAACAATAAGTATAATAGTGAGACTTTTTTTGGCACTGTTTGTAATAAGAAATTAAGTACATATGAAACCTCTGGCCAGACTGTATATTCTAGAAATCAAAAAATTTTACCTTATTGTGAACCAAAAATAAAACTCCTCTAGGCCAGAGATGAAAGGCATCTCTGATATTACTAGGTCACCTCATATATCATCTGCCATCTGCCTATAAATCATCATTGAATAAATATTTATTGGACAAGATTGTACATATTTGTATTGAGCAGATAGTAAAATGAGTGACTTGTTTCAAAGCTTAGAAATACGCTTCAGAAATACTACCCTCTGTAAAATGTTTGTGATGTTAAAAAGGTTCCTTTAATAAGGACTTAGCAGAATGCACACCAAGAAATACTGGCTCTTGAAGTGGGAGCAATTCTATTTAACCACTCGTATTCTATTATTACCACTTTGCTATTATAACCCCTTTGGCCCCAAAATTCACTAGTAAAATGAAATTCACAAAATCAAATTCAATTATATACAATAAAGTCAGAAAACATTGAAAAACCACAAAAATTCAGCAATATTATTCCCTTCCTGCCATTTATAAATAATAGATGCTCTTAAAGCTTTTTCTTACTCATCTAGCAAAACAAATTTCAGATGGCTCTACCAAAGTATGACCCCAGGGCCCACCACACTGGAGCCCTGATGTAAGACTATTTTTATTAAAATGCACTTAATGGTAAATTTTTTCAAAAGGATTTTGATTATATCCTTAAAACTCTGTCTTACCTTATACGTATTCCAGAATTTCTGTTTCAGGTCTAAAAATATATCATCCTTCCCTTGGAGAATACTCATACCTATTTTTAAAAACAAAACAAAAAAAGTTTTCAAAGATTCATCAGGAAGATTTGTGTATACTAGCTCACTCATGTATTTTTTTATTCCAATACATGAAGTTACCACCACAAAAATGCAGTGTTTGGCACTGAAGACAAAGTGGGTACATAAGCAAATGTGGTGAAGAAAGCTGATGGTACCCAGCTATCAAAAGAGATAGTAGCATCTGGGGTCTTAAAGGCTTGAAGATAAACAAGCATCCATATCGCTCAGAAGCAACAAAGCCCACATGGAAGGAGCACAGTAACCTGTGTGATCACGAGGTGTCTATGGGATCAGGTATCAGGCATCAAAGAACAAAAAATCCTATCATTGTGAAATGAGGGGGAGTGTGGAGTGGAAACCCAAAGCCCATCTGTAGGCAACTAGACATCCCCTTACAAAAGGAAGGAGACGAGCCAGTCAGGGTGCAGTTAACAATAATGAAACATACAACTTTCCTCTAGTTCTTAAATGCTTCCTCCCCCACACTATCATGATCCCAATTCTACCTTACAAATCTGACTAGACCTGAGAATGTACACTGGTACAGATAGGAACTGGAAATACAGGGAATCCAGGACAGATGAACCCCTCAGGACCAGTGGTGAGAGTGGCGATATCGGAAGGGTGGAGGGGAGTGGGGTAGAAAGAGGGAACCAATTACAAGGAAGGATCTCCGTATAACCCCTCCCTGGGGGACGGACAACAGAAAAGTGGGTGAAGGGAGATCTCGGACAGTGTAAGACATGATAAAATCATAATAATTTATAAATTATCAAGGGTTCATGAGGGAGGAGGGGTGGAGAGAGGGGAAAAACGAGCTGATACCAAGGACTCAAATAGAAACCAAAGGTTTTGAGAATGATGATGGCAAAAAATGTACAAATGTGCTTGACACAATGGATGTAAGTATGGATTGTGATAAAAGTTGTAGGAGCCCCCAATAAAATGATTGAAAAACAAATAAACTCAGTGTCACCTTTCTGACCCTGCAGTGAGAACAGGAAATAATAAACATTCTAAAAATAGTTAAACTTTAAAGGAACCATAAAAATTGAGTGAGAATAACAGGAAACAAAAATAATAGAAAAATGATTTTAAAAAACAATAAGGGATTATGAGATTATCACCCTGAAAACATTGAAACAAAACCATGCTGATGTCACATGTTAATGAAAGCAGATTGTCACATAAAATAAAGGATTATGTCCCATGAATAAGGTGCTCCAGAAAAAATCATCTATATGACACCAGGAGGTCAACAATTACTCTAAAGTAAAGATGAGAAGATAAAACTCAAAAATCTTACTGCCATCAAGTTGTTGGCTCATAACAACCCTATAGGACAGAGCAGAATTACCCCACAGGAAGAGAAAGCCTTTTTACTGCTTACATAAAGATTACAGCCTTAGAAAGTTCGTGAGACAGTGGTACTCTGTCCAACAGGGTCACCGTGAGTCACCATTGACCTGTTTACCAGAGGATAACTAGTCTAATCAGAATTCACAACTAAAGCAACAATTCACCCTTTCTAAAAACAGTCTGAAAACGTTCGTCTTCAGTATTTCTAAAAAGAAACTCAGAGAGCAAGAACAAAACCTTCCTGTTTTAGAAAGGCTGTAAGAAATGAGAGTGCTTTAAAAATTCTGTCCCACCCCCACTAGGTTGTTCCTGTTATTGTTAAGTGGAGTTGGTTCCAACTCATAGCAATCCTGTGTACAACAGAACAAAACACTGTCCAGCCCTGTGCCATCCTCACAATTGTTCTTATGTTTGAGCCCATCAATAGAGCCATTACGTCAATCCATTTTGTTGAAGATCTTCCCCTTTTGCCACTGCCTCTCTACTAAGTATGATGTCCTTCTCCAGGGACTGGAGATATGTCTTTTCTGACATGTCCCAAGTACATGAGATGAAGATTCACCATTTTGGCCTCTAAGGACCATTCTGGCCATACTTCTTCCAAGACAGAGTTGTTTGTTCTTTTGGCAGTCCAGGAACTTTCAATGTTCTTCACCAGCACAAATCAACTGCATTGATTCTTCATGAGTCTTCCTTACACAGTGTCTAACTTTTACATGCATATGAGGCTATTGAAATACCCTGGCTTGGGTCAGGCACAGGAGAAAGCCAAGGCTTTCCACTCCCATAAAGATGCACAGTCTCAGAAACTCACCAGGGCGTTCCTCGTTGTCCTATGGGACCTGTGAATGGCATCGACTTGATGGCAGTGAGTCTGGTTTTCAGTTTGGGTCTGGAGCACCTTAGTCCTCAGAGTAACATCCATGCTTTTCAACACTTTAAAGAGGTATAGTGCAGCAGATTTACCCAATGCAATGTGTTGTTTGCAATCTTGGCTGTTGCTTCCATGAGCATTGATTATAGATCCAAGTAAGACTAACTCTTTGACAACTTCAATCTTTTTTCCCATTGATCATGATGTTACCTACTGGTCCAATTGTTTTCTTTACACTGACTTGCAATCCATACTAAAGGTGGCAATATTTTATTTCATCAGAAAATGTCTAAGTCCTCCTCATTTTCAGCAAGCAAGATTGTGTCATCTGTATATTTTAGGTAGCTAATAAGTCTTCTTAGATAGTTAATAAGTCTTCTTCCAATCCCAATCCTGCATTCTTCTTCATATAATTCAGCTTCTCTGATGATAGGTTTAGCATACAGACTGAATAAATATGGTGAGAAGATACAACCCTGATGCAAACCTTTCCTGATTTTAAAACATCCAGTATGTCCTTGTTCTGTTTGCACAACTGCCTTCTTGGTCCATGCACAGGTTCTACATGAGCATAATGAAGTGTTCTGGAATTGCCATTCTTCTCAGGGCTATCCATAGTTTGTTATGATTCACATGGTTGGATACCTTAACATATTTGCTAAAACCCAAGTAAACATATTTCTGGTCATCTCTGTTTCAGGCAAGGTCCAGCTAATAATCGGTAATGATATCCCTTGTTTCAAGTTCTCTTCTGAATCCAGTCTGAATCTCTGGCAGTTCCATGTCAATGTACCTGCTGTAACCATTCATTGTTGGATGATCTTCAGCAAGATTTTACTTGCATGTGATATGTGATAATGTTCTATAATTTGAGCATTCTATTGGGTCATATTTCTTTAAATAGGTACAAATATGGATCTCTTCCAGTTAGTGGAACAAGTAGCTGTCTTCCAAATTTCCTGCCATAGATGAATGAGTGCTTCCAGTTTTTTATCAGCTGATTGAAACATTTTGATTGGCATTCTGTCAATCCTTGGAGCCTAGTTTGTGGCTAATGTTTTCAGTGCAGCTTGGACTTCTTTGTTTAGTGCCATTGGTTTTTGTTCATCTGTTACCTGTGTTAGTCCAAGTTCACTAGCGATACAAATCCAGACACACACAAATGTGTGTAAGAGAGAGCTTTATATCAAAGAGCAATTGTATATTAAGAAAACATCCCAGCCCAGTCCATAAGTCCATTATTAACCAAGATGTCCAATACTAGTCCAGAAATTCTTCTTTAGGCTCACACAGCACATGCAATGATGCTGAATGCAGGAAGATCACAGGCTGGTGGGTGGAAAGTCTTGTGGATTCAGTGGTGGTGGAAGCATCTCAGTGCTGGCACCTCAACTGGCTCCTCCAGCTCCATGGCTCTGGCTGCCATCAGCGTGGTCCCATGTGGCTTGTCAACAAGAAGGTGAAGCAGAGAGAAAGTGTGGCCCACTTCCAGGTCGAAAGAGAGGAAGTTCCCAGAATCCTCATGAGAAGGCCACAGGAGCCATCAGGCTGTGACCTGATTGCCAGGCTAACCTCTACCCCTTCACTCTTAATATTCTCAAGTTGACACGAGATTATGTAAATACCATGCTACTTCATGAGATGTTCAAATGTCAACTGGTTCTTTTTGGTACACTGACTCTGTTTATTCTTTCCATCTTCTTTTTATGCTTCCTGCATTGTTTAATACTTTGTCCATATAATCTTCCAATATGCAACTCAAGGCTTGAATATTTCCTTGAGTTCTTTCAGTTAAAGAGATGCTGAATGTGTTCTTCCTTGTTGTTTTTCTAACTCCAGGTCTTTGCACATTTCATTGTAATATTTGACTTCATCATCTCCAGCTGCCCTTTGATATTTTCCATTCCGTTCTTTAACTTCATTGTTTGTTCCATGTGCCTTAGCTTCACTATGATTAGGAGCAAGTTTCAGAATCTGTTTTTTCTTTCTTTCCTGTTTTTAATGGCGTTTTGCTTTCTTCGTGAATTATGTTCTTGATGACATCTCACAGTTTTTCAGGTATTCTGTTTTAGTGTTCAATGTGTCAACTCTGTAATTGAAACATTCTCGAAACTCAGGTGGCCATACTCAAGGTCATATTTGTGGACTTTTCATTTTCTTCATCTACAATGTGAATTTACATATGAGCATTTGATGGTGTGTTCTTCAGTCAGACCCTGGCCTCATTTTAGCAGCTTATATTGAGCTGCTCCATAGTCACTTCCCACAGATGTAGTCCATTTGATTTCTGTGTATTCTGAGGAAGTTCACGTCCTCAAAGTAACATCCTTGCTTTTTCAATACCCTGAAGAGGTCTTGTGCAGCAGATTTACCCAGTGCAACACGTCTTTTGATTTCTGACTGCTACTTCCATGAGCATTGCTTGTGGATCCAAGCCACACCAAATCCTTGACAACTCCAGCCCTTTCCCCATTTATCATGGTATCACACCTGTGGTGCAGTTGTGAGGATTTGGGTCTTTTTGGGGGGAGGTGTCTTCTTTATACTGAGCTGTACTCCATAGTGAAGGCTGCGATCCTTGATTTTCACCAGCGAGTTCTTCAAGTCCTCGCTTTCAGCAAGCAAGGTTGTCATGTGCGTATTAAAGGTACGCAATCAGAGAAAGACACGGGTAGAGGTCTTCAATGTCTTCATCACTACCTTTGATGTTTCGTGCATACATCTGAATAATAGTTATATTAG